CTGCGTCTGCGCTGGCCTCAGGCTGCCCTCGGTGTGTGGGGCTCCTGTGGGCACTGGGGGCCCTTGCTCTACTGCCCACTCACTCTCCCCCAAGACGGAGCAGGGACCAGGTGGGGAAGGACAGTCACGCTGAAGTGACGTGCTCCTGGAGATGCTGAAAACCAGTATCTACGAGGAGTGGGTGGAGGGGGTGAAGGGACAGATTCAACCACAGCAAACACCGCGAGGCCTTGGGAGTCCCCAGGGAGCTGATCGGTGACGCGCACCTAGTCGTGAGGACTCTGCCTGGGATGACGCTCACGTCTCCGTCTGACCCACCGTCTGGTCATAAAGCGGTAAACAGGAAGGATCTAGGGATCGGTCAGCGAACCCCTCGTTTCCACACTGATGACCAAGGCCCGGGAGAGCCAAGTGGTCATGCCACAGAGAGCTCTCCRCTGTGCACTTTCTAACCCTTCCCCTGACTCTTGTAGGAATGTGGCACTGTCCCATTTCACAGGAAAGAGACCTGAGGCTCAGGGTCAGGGAACTGGTTCAGTCTCCCAACCAGCAAATCCTGCACAAGGGGACTTGCCCCAGTCACCCTGACTCCAAAGCCCCGTTCTCTGTGATCCTGAAAAGGGGAGGAGAGAGGCCCAGGCCCGACAGACCGATGGGTCTGCATGGGACCCGGTCTCAGCCAGTGGGAGGCTTCCTCTCGCTTTTCCACGTCCCTTAAAGAGGCCCGAGCTGCTTCTTTTAGCTTCTGGTCACTGGCTGGCCACCTCTTGCCCATGCTGTTCCTAGAATCGGCCACCACATCGGGGCCTCGCCCACAGTGGTGCGGATTCCCAGACGCTCAGCCTCCGCCGCCGTTTGGCAGAACTCACATATAGAAAGCCATTTCCTTTTTTAGCCACCAAGTGCTCTGGGCTGCGGGGTGTCTCCTGCTGGCTCCCGGCTGGCCGCACAGAGGGCTGTGTTCCCCTGATGTCACATCGTGACCAGGGCCACAGAAACAGCCACCCTCAGATGACAGGACTCGCGGTCCCTGAGAAATGGTGGGACCACTGCCCGGCGGGCCTCCCTTTCCAGCCGCGGGGCCAGTCATTTCAGTCCAGTGTCCAGCTTGTCTGCACAGTGGAAAGGCCACTCGGGGACAAAGGGGAGGTGACGAGGACGGTACTGGCCTGCAGAAAGCGCGAGATCATGCCGGGGCCCTGGTTTCCTCTCTGACGTGGCCAGTGAAGACTCCAACATGGTGCAGGGGCCACTCTGGGAGTCTGTGGGGCCGCAGGCTGGTGAGTGGCTCAGTGCTGGGGGGGGACGATCGGGGCAGGGACGCTCCTTCCTCGGTCCGCTCCTCCTTCTACGAGGCACAAGCCTTCCCTGCTGCAGAGGCSGTCAGAGCGGTGCACCTGCCCAGAGCGGTCCCTCTCGCTCCTGTGACAGGCCCCACCTGTCCCCTCACGTGGCTGTGACTCCAGCTCCCAGAGGCTGCGCACCTCTGAGTCTGACCACCAGCAGGACGTCCACCAGAGGGGAAGTGGGGGAGGTGTCCCCGCCGTCCTGACCCTCGTCACCTCTGTCCTCTCTAGAAGTCCTGAACCCTGACGTCTCCAGGTGGCAGTCAGGATCTGGAAGTCCCCTGTGGACACGTGGTGTCACCATTTCATGGGAGGCTCTTGGTGGCTCCAGCTGCCTCTTGGTGACTTAGACAGGAGACACCCCTCCCTGACCCCAGTGCGCTCCTGTGGGGAGCAGAGCAGGGGGCCGGCGTGGTGGCCGGAGACAGTGGAGCTCTGGAGGATGGGGGAGTGGGAGACTCGCGAACTACCGTGGCATAGTGTGTCGACTCAGTGCAAAGCTGAGGCCAATCCAGACTTCCTGCCTCCACCTTGGAGGTCAGCAAAAGGAGTCCCAGAAAAGAGTCTGCAGTTAAAAACCCAGCCACGTCGTCTCAGCATCCTGTGCTGTGGCTCAGCTCCACTAAAGAAATGCCTTGCAACAAGTCAGAAGCAATTCAAAGAGACCTGGGCTGAGGACCGGGTGACCTGGCATCTACCTTAGAATTCTGCTGTTAGTTGAGCGCCTACGACGTGTCAGTCATTAAAAATACCAGGCTGGGGGGGGGGGTGCTGCTCAGAGGCAGAGTGCTGGCCTACCATGTGCACTGGCCCTGGTTCAATCCCCGGCACTGAAAAAAAATCACTTCATCTTCACTAAACATGACAGGAAGATTTTATTAAGCTCTTTACCATATGGAAAAACTGAGGATCAAAGACAGAAAATGGTTGGCCCCGAATCATGCAGCCCACGTCTCAGGCTCCTCCTTCTTCTCTACTCCTGAGTCGGATACACCCTAAGGGCCCCGTGCTCTTCCAGTACCTCCAGATTCCCCTCCCGGGTGAAAGTGACTAGATGGCTGGATTTTTCTTGCCCATTGTTGGCTAATATGTCAAAAATGATGGATTCACAAAGTAGCACCAAACTGTCACCCCCCAGGAGCGAACCTTCCAGGGTACCAAGGAGGTCAGCTTCTTTTATGGGAACCCTAAAAATAAATGGCCGTCTCCCGCTTTGTTCCCTCGACCTGAAGCCAGCGTGGCCCATGAGGGCTACTTCATGCAGAAAGCCACTGGGGGCCCCTGAGGGCGAGTGAGCTGCTCCCGGGGACAGAGGCAGAGCCCGGCCTTGGACCTGGCCCTGAGGATGGCAGGTCTCCAGGCTTTGTCCTGTCGGACCCCCAGAAGGCCACCCCTGCCTTTTTTAATTAACGGGGCCTAGAGTAATGTCATCCAGTGCCCAAGAGGCAGGTGGCAGCCGACCTCCACTGCCGTGTCCCCTACTAGCAAATGGAGATGACAGGAGCGTGGCAGTCAGCGGGGCTGGGGACCGCCCAGGGCAGGGGGAGAGGGCCCTGGACACGGCAGGCGGAGCTGCGTGTCCTCCCCACTGAGTGGCGTGACTCACTGTCATCTCCAGCCGCCACTTTCCTGCCTCGGCCTCGCCCTCCTTATTTGTCCTCATTTGTCTGAGGAGGAGGCTGAGGCGGTGTGAGAGTTCTGATGTCCTAAGACGTCAGCTCAGTGCCAAGAATGGGGGACAGGAGCGGGGGACAGGAGTGGGACAGTTCAGAGATAAGAAGAGCCACGCGTTTCAGGAGCCCAGCGAGACACTTGTGCGTCCAGGGCAGCGGCCAGGCAGACCCACCTGCTTCAGTGGCTCCATGGACGGCACGTGTCTGGGTGGGGACGTCCATAGTGTGCCAGGCAGGAAGCCAGAGAGCACCCCCTGGAGTCCCCCGCGGGGTGCTGCGGCCTGTGGACTCTGCACTGCAGCTGCTAGGTGGGGAGGGGCTGGAGAGCCGGCCAGGGGGGGGGCCAGCCGTTCCCTGCCTGGAGGAGCCCCACAGGAAGGTGGCCCCTGAGACCAGATCTAGGGACAGTGGGGGAGAAGTGGAGGCCATTCGGCCTGCTGACGTGAAAGTCAGGCCGGTCCACCCGTGGCCACACCACCGGGGAACGGAGGGGCCACACCTCCAGATGCTGGCCCTGGTCACGCCCCTGCACAGCTGCTGGGAATTCCAGGGCTCCAGCCGCCTCCTCCTCAGAGGCCAGATGGACCTGGTGTGTCAGCACCTTGTTGAGCAGACACGTGTCCTGAAGAGTGATGTGCAGAGGGGTGGACCCAGGGTCCCTCAGGGAATCGGGGATGGAATCGGGGAAGAGGAGTGAGAGACAGGCTGAACAGGGGACGGACAGACAGGGGACGGACAGACAGGGGACAAACAAACAGGGGACGGACAAACAGGGGACAGACAGACAGGGGACAAACAAACAGGGGATGGACAAACAGGGGACAGACAGACAGGGGACGGACAGACTGGGGACGGACAGACAGGGGACAGACAGACAGGGGACAGACAGGGGACAGACAGGGGACAAACAAACAGGGGACAAACAAATAGGGGACGGACAAACGGGACGGACCAACAGGGGACAAACAAACAGGGGACGGACAGGGACATGGAAACTCCGGGTGGCGCCCACTCCTGGGGGTTCTGAGGGTGCCCGAGCCTGTGGCTTTGGGCCTTGCACAAGGCGACCGCTGGGAGGAACCTCTACCTCAGGTACAGACGAGGAGACTGAGGCCCCAAGTGGGGACTGTCCTGTCCCGAGTCACACAGCCACTAGGGGACCAGACCCGAGTCCCCCGGGCCAGGTCTGGGCTCTTGCACCACTTGCTCAGGAGAGAGGTCAGGAGTAGGAGCCCCTCGGCTGGCTTCGCGCCTCACCCTGCCGCGTCCTCCACCCCCAGCCTCCCCACGGACGGCACCAGCCTGCAGTCCTCATGAGCCGCCGCACAGTGGGGACGTGACCCTAGCAGAAATGCCAAGCAGAGAGTATTTTTAAACCATCCAACATGCCTTAGGAAGAAAAAAAATCAAAACACTCCCCTTGACGCTGCGGAGAGGAGAGCGTTCAAAAGACTCCAGGGAGCTCGGCAAAGCCGGCTGCTTTCTGTTTTTAAAGGGCCAAACTCKCTTCCCAAAAGTTCAGGAAAATGGACCAGTGGCCGGCTGCTAAGATGCCCCAGGAGCACTTCAAGTCCACAGGCTGGACTGTGACCGCAAAGCCCCCCAAACACACACACACACACACACGCACACACACGCACACACACACGTGCACACACACGCGCACACACACACACACATGGACACACATGCACACACACATATGCACACAAACACATACGCACACACACACACACGCACACACACGCACACACGCGCGCACACACCCCTGCTGCTCCCCTAACCACCAAGTCCCCTCGCTGCGTCACTGAGTCCCCCTCTGTGCTCCTTCAGAGCTCACCACCCGGGAAGAGTGAGAGGACGAGGGGTAAACTCTCAGGACCCAGAGGAGCTCTGTCCCCATCCAGCCCTGGGCAGTCAAGTGTCCCCTCCGGCCACGTCCCCTGACTTGAAGCTCACCAGAGTTCAAGTCCAGCCTTACCTGCGGCTGCTCCTCCGGGGGCTCCGGGCCCTCTGTGCTCCCGCTGCCCAGCTGCCCTCGGGGACTGCTCTGGGCCCGTCAGTTGTCCCTCCCAGCCTCTTTTAGCCGTCCCTGTCACCCCCTCCCACTGTCCCTCCTAGTCTCCACCCCTTCCCCTCCAGGCCTCCCGCCCCTCTCTGACCTCGCAGAGTCTTAGCTCCCATTTAACAGACTCCTTCCTTCCACTTCACAACCTCCCCCTCCTCCTCCTGGACCAGGCGGCCCCTTCCTCCCCTGGGGCCTGCCCTCTGGCTGTCCTTGTCACCAGGGCTGGAGCTTGGCCTGGTGTGCCGCCTCCTGAGGGCCCTTCCTGCCACCTCTCTGTGGGGCCTCCTGGGGTCCCCAGCCACAGCTTTCCCGGGCATCAGCAGGAAGCCTGGCCCTGCCAGGAGACCCTCTGCCCACCCTGCCTGACGTCAGAGAGGAATGGTGTCCACTCACAGGACGAGTCCTGGGGACCTGCTCTGCTGTTGGGGAGCAGAGCGCCCACCAGCACCCAGAGAGGCCGGGGAGCCTGGGAGGGAAAGGGCCTGACCTCYGGGTCCCAAGTGGGGGAGAGAACCCGCCCAGCCCAGGACGCTCCCTGGGAACTGGGCCGGGACTCCACCTGTCCCCTGTTTGACTTCACTTCGTCTTTCAATTTCTAATTCCACGAGGTAGGCATTTTTCTGCATGTCACAATCAAGGAACTGAGACTCAGAGAGCGCAAAGGACAGAGCGTGGTGACCAGTTAGTTAGAGTAGTCAGGCAGAGCAGGGTCAGGAGTTTCAGCCAGGGCCAACCTTCATCCCTTGGCTCTTCCCACAGAAGCATCAGGTCTCCCAGCTGGAGTCGAATCRAGGAAATCAGGCTGTCTCCTACTAGAAGACGTGTCACAGAAACTGTGGGACATCTCTCCTCTGTCTTCTCCTGACCCCTCAGCTAAGCATGCAGACACGGGCCCAGGCAGAGGACAAGTGTCAACAACGGAGGTCACACCAGTGACTGAGAGCCCGAGATGGTGGCACCGGAAGGAAATCGCACAGAGCAGCTGGGACAACCAGGGACACTCGGGCACGGAGCCAGGCTACTTTCCAGCCTCACCCACGGTCGCAGGGGCAGACGGGAGGCCAGCCCGGCGCTGTCTCTGGCTCCAGGTCACCACCCAAGATGCGCTTCCCCACACGGCATCCATCACGACGCTCCAACAGTGCGCACAGCTGTTTCTTAGTGGGTCGTGCTTTTCATGGGTGAAAAAGTCTAGGATCAGCAACATGGGGCCCAATTTCCTGCCTCGAGAGAGGCGACAACCCAGTGAAAGAAACCACCTGGGGGTCCTGGTTCCCTGGCCAGAGTTCCTCCCCATTCCTGCRGAGTCTGAGACAGACTCCTGGGCCAACCTGTCGGGGTTTGAACTGGCTCTGCCACACACCAGCGGCGACCTCTGTCAGCTCAGCCGGTCAAGGACAGCGACACCAACCTCACGGCTGTCCTGAGGCGGGTACGGCGGAGACTGCACTCCTCCCCGGCTGCACTAACCCAGTCCCGAAGCCGAGAGGAAGCCCTGGTGGTACCTAGGTCCCCCCCAAACAGACGGTCCCCACCCTGTGACTTTCCCCTGCAGTCCAGCCTCAAAATAAGGCCCCTGGGAAGAGCTTCTCTCCGGCCTTGAGAGAGCCAGGTACAGAGCCGTAGGGCCTCGGTGGAGGGAGGGCCGGAAAGTGGGCAGGGCAGGGCATATTGGTTCCGGGATCACCATGATCACGTCACAGATCACTACGATGAAGACCAGAGGGAAGAGCGTCCCAGGTGTGGGCACACCCTTGACTCTGGAGGGGCAGGTCATAAAGGAAACCCCCCAGGGCTGGGCTGGGCTCAGGTAGAGGCTTGCCTCGTAGAAGAGGCCCTGGGTCCCATCCTCGCACCACATATAAATAAGTAAAACAAAGGTGTGTGTCCACCTGCAACTGGGGAAAGAATCTGCGTCTGCCATCCTGCCGGCAGGCGGAGAACCTAACGGTGTCCCCAGCCAGGCACCYGGCTCAGCAGACACCAGGACACTTTCTTGGCCCCAAACAAGCTGCTTTGGGAAGGACTTTGCAAGTGTGTTCTACGTCCCACCTGATTTTCCCCCAGACTGAGACGAGGTTCTGAGAAAAGTCAGAGAAGTGTCATTTGGTTGTAGATCTGAAGTGACTCCCGAGGGGACTGAATCCGGTTGTCACCTTATAGCTAAGAAGACACCATGAACATGGTCGGAGACCCCAGGGAATGTATGGAGAAAAAGTCTGCTGATGTCAAAGTCCCGCCACGCCCTCCCCTTCGCTCTCACTTTCAGTATGAGAAAGGGTCTTAGAAAGAGACGGGGATGTGTGTGCTCCACACATTACAGACGCAATAGCARAATAAGCTTCATTCAACATTGACTCTGTGCCAGGCACTGTGCTTGGCACATTCCATGCTCTTTCACTTTGAGACGAAAAGATAGAAAAATGGGCTTATGAAGACCATCAGAACTCTGCACACATCATGGTCTCAAAAAGAGTATTGGCCACTCCTTGGCTCCCACTCTGCTAAGTGAGAGACAAAGGCCATCCCCGTCCACAAGGAGCTGATATCCTACTTGTAGAAAGGAGCTATTTAGTAGCAAGCCATGGAAACAATGTAGGTTCCTTCAACAGATGAGTGGATGAAGAAAAATGTGGTATGTCTACACAACGGAATGATACTTAGCCATAAAGAATGAAATCATGGCATTTGCGGCAAGCGGAGGGAACTGGAGACTGTCATGCCATGTAAGATAAGCCAGTCCCCCCAAAACAGAGGCTGAGTGTTTTCTCTGCTTTGTGGATGCTAACCCACAAGAAGGGACGTGGGGAGGAAAAGAATAAAAGTCCATTGGATTAGACAGAGGGAAACAAAGGGAAGGAAGGGGGGGAAGAGGAAAGGCAGTGGAATTGATCGACTATGACTTTCCTGCTTTGAGTCTGTGTACCCAACCAGGTGACTCCACATGAGGCACACCACAGAGTGGGACCCACAGAGAATAAGTCACACTGCCCAAAATCATTCCACTGTCATGCATAACTAAAAATTAAAAAAGAAAAGAGCTTTTCAGGCAAAACAATGCAGTATTCTCTATGTAGGTATTTGAATTAATAATGATGCAACGAAGTGATAAATTCTGCAACTGAAAAAAAATTCAGTGAATAGTTCCACGGTCAGTGATCGATCGATTGTCCGTCATGAGGGGAGGCCTTCCTAAGGCCTTCTGTCACCAGGTGTTTTCAGCCACAACACTGCACGTCCAAGGATAGGTCGTCAGGCCCATCTACAGTGAAGAAAGCTCAGAGACACTCAGGAGCTCACCCAGGATCATCCAGGCGCTTTCTAGCCACAGTTACAGCGGAGACTCTCAGGAGAGCCACTGGGGACCAGAGAGGGCCAGGGCCAGGTAAGAGCAGGCCCCAGGCAGCCCAAGAAGAGGAGCCCGTCCTGGCAGGAGGCTGGTGCTGGTGGTTAGGGAGCTGCCCACAGTGAGGTGCCAGGAAGAGGCTCACCTCCTGCCCTGCACGTCCTCCTGCAGGTGGCATTTTGAAACCTGCCTCCTTTTCCTGCTCCTCTTTAGAGGCCAGGAGCGGCCTCTCCCACCCGGTGGCTCCCTGGCTCCCGGGTCCCCTCCCAGACGAGTGGTCCAGATGTCTGACTGCTGACTCTCCTACAGCCCACACAATGACACAGGCGAAGGGTGTCTGTCAGAGCCTGATGGCAGGAGCCGCGAGTCCCGGTGCCTCACTGGAGGGCGTAAATGGGTGACTGGCGCCATGGCTGAGCGCAGACGTGGCAGGCATCGGCCATTCCCTTTAAGACTTTCGCTTTCCAGACAGTGGCTAAAAAGGGCAGGAACACGCCGTTCCAAGAAGCAGAAAGAGAGAGACAGACAGACTCCCCCGGAGCTTTAGTCCCTGAGCCAACTCCTGTCCCACCCCAAGACTCAACCCCCAACAAGCTCAGGGTCAGGCCCACCCCTCTTCCCCGGCTTCAGGACCCTTGGGATCCCAGAGTGAAGAGGTCTTCTGAGATGTCTCRGACCTGGAAGAGTCGGAGGAGGAGGAGGAGGAAGAGGGATCCAGTGCCAGGCATGTGGGGCGCTCGGGCACGGAGCCTGCTGCTGTCACCCTGAAGTCGGAGCGGGAGGTCCCTTGAGCTCTGGGAGCCCGTGACCGGGGACTTCATCCCACAACCCAAACCGGGACCTCTCCTGGGAGATCCTGAGGTGCAATTCGCCTGGAAATCCAGAGGAACTCTGAAATCAAGAAGACAGAGAGCCTCCTTTTGGTCGAGAGATTGTCGTGCCTACCCAGAGCACATTTCTTTCTCCTCCAACAAAATACGCTTCCTTGATCTACCCCCTCCTACCCCTCCCACAAAGACTAAGAGGACTCGCTTCTCCTTGTTCTGGAAGATGTTTCCAGTCAAGTCCAAGGTATGACACTAGGTGTAGCCGGGAGTGACGGTGCCCACCTGTGACYCCAGTGGCTCGGAGGCTAGGGCAGGAGGACGGTGAGTTCAAGACCAACCTCAACAATTTACCAAGGCCCTAAGCAACTCAGTGAGACCCTGTCTCAAAATAAAAAATAAAAAGGGCTGGGGATGAGGCTCAGTGCCAAAGCACCCCTGGGTTCAATCCTCAGTATCAAAAAAACCAAACAAACCAACCCTAAGCTACCAGAGCCATGGCAACGGCTTGCCCAGGTGAACTGCCCGCCCCTGGCAGCTGGGAAGCAGCGCCTGCTCTGAAGTCAGTCCATCTTCAGTCATGAACTCTGTGCAGGTCTACTGAAGACACACTGGGCGCAGGCCTGGGCATGCAAGGACAAATGAGGCCCCAGTTCTGGTGGCTGGGGAGAGAGTCCTGGTGCCCCTGAGTGGAGCGAGGGCTGGAGGGGCCTAGGTGTGAGAGGGGAGAGGTCACCAGCTGTGCTTGGGCGTGGTGGTCACGGTGAGGAAGAGTGTCCTGTGGTGGGCAGCAGGACGAATGAG